CGGCGTCGTCCGCAACGACGACGGCGCACGGACGACGACGTCGATTGATTCACACTACTCGAGTTCATTTTGGATCAGCTGGCTGGCATCTCCGAGTTTTGGCTCTGCGACAGCTCCAGCAGATGGCACTCTGATAACGGTATCTGTCTTGTGCGGGCACTCTGCTTTTTCTATAGTTAAAAGGAAAAGACGTTATGATAAAAATTGCAAACTGTATTATACGATCTTGTCAAATAGAAAAGAATTAACTCGTAGAATAGCGAACAAGCAGTTTTATGTTATTTGGAAGCAAACTCGGTCCTGAGAGCTGTTTGAGTGGAGACTAACTCCGCCATTTTTACTATGTATCTTAAAAATGGTGGCTAAGATTAGCGATAGAAAGGAGCAGTATCGTTAAGTTGATCGAATATCTAGAATTCCAAATCGCGAATATCGCTTTATAGAATGAACGATCTCGGTTATTAACGAATCCTTTTTCCATAATTTCTCTCTATAGTCTATATTTAACATATGTAATTTAAACACGGGTAGAAATAGAAGAAAAAGATCCACCTGTCTTCGGAATGGGAAACAGCCTCTGTTCTCGTTATTCGGTGGCGGATGGTTGATCAACAGATCAGGAGTAGGTGTGTTGTTAGGACCTAGCACGTTCAGTTCCTTAAAACACTCAGTCTCTATCATCTGGAATAAAGAGGGCCTGTTTCACTGTGCAGAAAATAGAATCTCTTTGATCGAACGGAGCATAAATCTTTATGATAAACGAAACTGCAGTCGATCAGCATGTAAATCGCTTTGAATGCTAAAATGGGTTCGTTGGGACGATAGCAGACTGTCTATGACGTGCCAAGGAATGCTTTTGGAACGCCATATTTTTCGATGTAAGTGGTGGAACGGTACGCGTTTTACTTGTTCACAGCGTAGCGTCAAGACGCTCGCTATCTCTCTGTAGTGCTGGATATAAACACCGAAGGAACGTTAAAAGGCTTACCTCGTTCTGCCACGGGATGGACACGCTGCCAGTATTGAATTTACTGTAAAAGGTGTCGTCGGTCGCGTCCAAGTTCACACCTTTTACCGTGGAAAATTGTTCGATATCCAACACGTCCTTAGCGTACACCGCGTGAGGCTGTAAGCAGAATCGATCAACGATAAGGATTTCCATAAAAAAAACACGCGATAATAGTCATCTTTAATATATATATATATATAGTAATCTCGGTAGAATACTAAATCTTTGAACACAACCATATACAAAGTATCATATAGTATTTTGATATTTTATTTAATCTATAACTACTCGTGTTAACGACTGTATATGATAAAAGAAGGGTTTAACAGACTTTTGTAAATAATTAGCACAGAGGAAAATAACGAAGAATAATTTACGCTAGCCAAGCTAAGCTTTGAAGGATCTGGAGGATTTTTCTTAGCACAGGAATATAAAAGAAATGCCAGTTTTCTCAAACGAAGGAAGACTAGATATATATAAAAGGCAACGGCGACAAAGTAAAATCGGTTTGAACGACACCTACTCACATCCGGCACAAACGGCGGTTCCCACATACCGACCTCGACCCTTTTCCAGTTCAAGCACTGAAAGAAGCTATGCAACTTTACTTCCTTAGCACCGTGTCTGCCGCACTTGCAGCCTAACCTGTTCTTCGGACTCTTCTTCAATAATTGCTGACACAGGCTCTTTGCTTCTTCGGTAAACTTTGTGGAATATCTTTCTTGATCTTCTTTCACCCTCCTATCCACCTCTTCTCTCTTCACCTTCTCCTTCCTGGCACGAAAGGGAGCTTGACCTTCGATCATCTCGTATAAAAGACATCCAAAACTGAACCAGTCCGGTGAAAAGGTATATTTCTCATTGTCGATCACCTCTGGCGCCATATATCCGACCGTTCCAACTCTTCCTGTGACCATGTCGCCTTCTGTGATTTCCACAGCCAGACCAAGATCAGATATCCTTACATGACCATGATCGTCTAACAAAATGTTTTCTGGCTTACAATCTCTGTAGACGATTCCTTGCAAATGCAAGTGTTCCAGGCCACAGACTACTTCAGCTGCGTAAAACCTAGCGCGGTTAATGTCGAAACCAGGTTCTCCGCCCATGTTGTAAATATGAAATTTCAAATCTCCTCCATTCATAATCGTCAGGACTAGACACAATGCATCCTTGGTTTCATAGGCATAGGCTAGGGAAACGACGAATTTGGAGTTAATTTTTTGCAAGATGTTCTTCTCTATGAGTACCATGGCTTCACCCTTGCGCTTTTTAATTCGTTTCTTCTCCAGTTTCTTGCAGGCGTACATTTTGCCTGTTGCTCGTACCTGACAAGCGCATACTTCGCCAAATCCACCCTTTCCTAGCACCCTGTACATACGAAACGTCTTGTACGTGACTGGCTGCGCCTCTAGCCACTTCCATTGAAGATACCTGGCAGAGGAGGGCTATCGTTAGAATCGATATGAAATATGTACCGATAAGAGGTTAGATGGTGTTATCGTAAACAAATATTTGACGATTAGTGGGCTCTTAATGGGACGCTTTGTCGGGAAGATGCAGATAAGAAAGATTGACAGATTTCGTTGGAAATTCATTGAAAAGGATGAAACGGTTATTTTTGGTCATAAATATTTCACACCTTATTAAATCCAAAACGTTCGCAACTAATTACAGCTATTCGCTAGCAACCAACTATTATATTTCACCATAATTTTTGCCTCCACTAAGATTTATCTGATATGAAAAATACATTTTCCGTGCTAAGTATGTAGCCTTCAAACAAATATGCTATACTACATTTTGTTAAATTCAGAACCATCAGAATACGTGACAGAGTACTGTCATCTTTCGCCATGTAAAATCCATCGAATATCAAAAATACCTTTACTCTATCGTTTAATCTCCAAACAGAAATATCGTTTGAAATTTTACTAAATTCGAAATCATCGGAATTTATTCGTGATTGCGAGATTGTGACAAAGATAAATAGGTGTAACATCCCGAGGAAAAGATTGCCACGTCGAATTGACTAGGTGGAAAAAAATGAAGTTTAAATAAATTACCTATAGAAATAAAAGCTGGTTTGGAAAGCTGAAAAAGGTTCGCCGGCCAGAAAGTTTTTCACGGTCTGCGCGATTTCAACAAAGAGCTCCTTGCCGCCAGTGCCGAGTCTCTCCTCACACTGGGCGATCAAAGAATCGTTTAGGATGTCGACGACCTCTGAGCCCTCCCTCTTCAGGTATTGCTCGAACAGGTCCTTGGCCAGCTCGGTCCGATTCTCATCCATCTCGATCTCGTACTTCTCGATGGCGTCCAGGAAAAGATTGTACCGATGGTAAGATGGCTTCTTGTCCTGGCAAAATTGCCTGAACAACAGCCTACCGATCGGTTGTTGATCCACCACATAGCTGTACCTGATGTCTGTACCAGTCAAACGGGCGAATGAATAACAAATGGTTGTTACGACTTCTCCTACATAAACGATAGTAATTAAAAATATATTTATTTTTTGTTGCATAAAAGTTTATCGGGCATTCAATTACCATCGTCCTCGCGTTCGAATTCTATCATTACGAAATGCTAATGATTTTTAACGTTCTTTTCTATCTGTTTGTTGACACGTTTAATACAAAATGTACTTGACAATCTTCTCTTCTACATTGTATCTTTATTCGCGTATTCCCCCTGCAGTTTCCCAGCAAAGAATTTGATAGCTCTGTATTTAAATTTCTATTTAACTCTAGAACACGTCGTTGCGAACAACTTAATAACGTAAAATTCGGAATATTCTACACGTATTGTTAAAAAATAAAAATAAGATAAAAACTATTTAAAATTCTTGCTTGAAATCTTTCGCATTTTTCATCTACGCGAGCATCTATCGCCGAAACGCTGTGCACAATAAAATCGGAATCACACGTTTTAACGCAGTCTAGTCGGTTTCTCAGGCATTAATCAGTCAATTGTACGTCGTGTTAATTTCTTTACGAGCGATCGATGGGCTCCCATCGGTTCTCAATTATTATGAAACGTCGCGTCGCATCGCGTCGAGAATCGCGTGGGATTAATCGAGTTGCACGAGGAATATTCTTGGCTCGTGTTTGCTAGGGAAACTCTGATAATCTGCGGCCATTTTCGACGTGATTTCACGATTATCGGCAGCCCTGAAATCCATGCTTGCTTGAAATCGGTTGCTCCCAATGGATTCAACCTGCCGACCGAGGAATTAATTTCGCGAAACTCGGCGACGCGACGCCACGTATCGATTCGCCTTTCCATCGTTGCATTTTATTATTCAGTTTCACGGCGTTTCACGTTTCAATAAATATTTCATTCCGTACAACGATTGATTAATAGAACATTCGAACCCGCAACGCAAAATTTAATCGTAAAAATAAGTTTCAGTCAACGAGTGCGTATTGAACTACGTATTCGATCGATCAACAAATATCGTTGTTATTCTTTTTGAGGAAAAACTGAATTGTTTTAAATTGCACTCGATCGAGCGATCTTCGTAACTTAGACATCGGTCTTTTCAATCGTTCGGGTTGGTAAATAACGGATGCTAGAACGAACGAACGATGAAATGAAACGAGCAGAAAACCAACAGCACATGGGAATACCGAGCCAAAGATGCTCGCCACTAACTAATTAAGATCAACTAATTAACGTCAATATCTTGTAACGTGCAATTGAAAAACAAGATTTCCCATGTAAAATTGTAAAAAGAAGAAATGTCTACATTACTGAAGCTTTAAGTTAAACCACTATCCAGAGGATTACAATGGAATCCAACAAATCCTCTGGTTCGATGAACAGGAATCTTTCTCCCTGAGATATCTCCCCCTTCCAGCGACTATCCATCCAATTTCAATCACAAAACATCCCACGAAATTGGTTGTTCGACGATCAATCAACCGTGATTCATCGATCAGGCGTAACATTTGATCCCTAACGGGAGAATTCGAAGCGGAAGGTGGTCTAAAAACCAAGCGAAAGGAGACACTTTCCGAGCCTTGCGCTCTCATCACGGCTTAATTAACCGAGACAAAGAAGCTCCAACAGCTTCTTATCTTAATATAGCTTTTCACGTTTTTTTCGTGGCCGCGTGTCGTTCGTTAAGCCGACACAAGCTGGTCGAACGGTGACGCGTTGATTAGCCGCGAGATTCACGGGGAAAGCGCGACTACGCGGGACAGCCGTCACAGCAGATATCTCGTACCACAATTTACCGATTATGAAAATTGTTGATTTCCGTGTCGTCAGATGTAAATATAGAAATGATCTGGTGGTATAATACAATATATTTCGATAAATTGCCAATATACGTAGAGCGCAGGATATGGCGGTCTAGGGATAGTAAATACGGGGGATATAGGAAAGAACACAGGAAACACGAAGCGTTACGTGAATGTGGGATACAGAATATGAGGAACGAAATATGAAACATGGCATGTGGAATGGAAAGATGAACTATGGGAAGTGAGATGAAAGATATGGAATAACGGTATAGTTGTGGGATATAGGATATAAGATAAGGTATAGGAAGTACGAAATGTGGGGTGGAAATGTGAACTGTGCAACGGGCTTGGCAGGATAGATATAGGATAGTGGATATTATTAAATGCTGGATATAGGATATATGTACATAAAATATGCGAATAATGTGAAAAGTGGGACAGAGAATGTAAAATGAAATATGCGACTTTCGATGTACGAAGTACGGAAAATAGACAATTTGTTGTGGTATAGGTGATAATAGGATGTGAGACGCGAGACGTGAGATGTGGATTATAAGATGTTTATAGGGTTTCAGATGTGCGATCTAAGTAACGACGAATAGAGGACGAATTTATTACTGGATCAAATTTCATTTCAATGAGCGGAATTCGAGCAAATACAATTCTACTGCACAGCGCGCGTGCGAAAACTTACCCAGCTTATCTTTTAGGCCGATGCATTGGGAAATGTGTGGAAACTGGAGTATCTTTCGCCATTTTTTACTCTTACCCTTGTTGCTGTCACCACCGCCTGCAAAACAACGATAATACGATTAAGATCAATAAATTGAAATTAAAACAAAAACCATCGAAACACGTTTTATAAATATCGAACAATTGGTAGTCTGTTAATTTATCAACGATACTAACGTTATATAGAGGAAAATAAATTGACGAGGGAACGGCGATTTCCCTGGCTCGAAGCGTTTCGATTACGCAACAATTCTCGTCTTGCAAGACTCACGCCAATTAAAACTGCAATAGAGGAGTCGTTCCTGCGATTTCGACGTTGCAAAGCGGCACGTTCGTAATTGAAATTGTATGGTAGTTGATAATTTGTGTAAGGTAAAAACATATTTGATTCGAGATCGTGATACTTTATACAGATACATTTAAAAGTAAGGCTAAATTGTGAGAAACGCAATATTTATTTTTCATATAATTTCCTTCTTCTTCTTACATGGGAAATTAATCTGTTTCTCTTCTCTTCCTTTTTCAAATAATTCGTTACGTTCGTAAAAGGATTCGACGAAATATTCTCAAATTCTCCCCTAGGAAAATATTGCAAGTAATAACTTGCATGGTCCATCGACCTTTTTTCCCTGTCGCGTCCACCTTATTTCGAGCAGTTTCTTTTTTCCGCCGATATATTCGATCATACGTCTCTACTATGACGTCGGATTGAATTTGCTATTATATATAATGAATACGGGAGAGCGCAGCTACGGAATTCGAGGTAGTTTTCGACTCGCAGGAAACCGCGATTGAAGAAGCGCGATTCCGGTTGAGGCAGCCGGTAATTAATAGTTTCCAAAGTATCGACAGGACGAAGAGGTTTTATCTTTTCGCTACAAAAGCCAACACGAGTGACCAATGAATCATTCGGTACGCTTTGTATCTTTTCAATTGACTATGTGATAAAACTAATGCGAAATTGATGACTCGTCAGCTTTCTCTGGAATCAACGGCTGCATATATTCATTTAGTAAGAAACTTGCAAGTAACGATTATCGATCTTACACGTTACTACGTTGAATTAGTATCATTATCAGGTTTATTATCGGTTTAAAAGAATCGTTTTTATCTAACTCGAAGGTTTGAAGTTATTCTAAATTATCCCACTAATTGACTGTGAAACTAGGAAAATTATTCGGCGCGATTAAAAGCTTGTCAAAGGAAAAGAAAAGTAATAAGAGGAAAAGAGGGAGAAAAATATAATTTTATCGTAGAAGATCAAGCGAATATGATGGAGTAAGAACTGTAAAACCAACAGCAACGCAAGTTGAAGATTATTCTTTAACGAAAGAAAGACAAAAGAATTCTGATATTACGAAACTCGATTGTCGTCGAGTATATGATGATCCAAAAAGTTAATAAATTAATTTTTGTTGACAATGCGATTGTCCAAGCCACTTTCTTCCTTCATTGTCAAAAGTATCGTTTAACTTGATTTAAAGCGTTTCTACGATAAAACAACGATCGAAGAAAGGAAGGAAAGACGATTTTACCATTAACAAAACCAAAGAAATATCGAATATTTCATAAACTGAAAGAATTTCCAAAACGCGATTTATAAAAGAAAGAAGTAGAAAATTAAACCTAAAAATTAACCTTTCTCGGCTTACAATTCGAGCGTGGTATCTTCCAATCGGCTTTCGAGTTTCAAAAGGGATCTGTCCCATTTCGGTGCAGATAGGAACGTATAGTACGAGAAGAAAGGGCAATGGTGGAAATTCAGTCGGGGCGACATCGATCGTTGTGGAAAAGACGAGATGGAACTGACGATGAGGTAGATCGATAGACATCCAGGGTAGATTTTGCGCGAACAACCGATCGCGTTTCCGCGAGCGTGCACTCGAATCTTGCGGAGGCGGAAAAGAGGAGTCGAATCGCGTGGTTAGATCAGAGAACGTTGTACGTGGTACGTTCTCGTGATAAATCAGCGACGACCATTACCTACTCGACGGAGGACTTCCCTGCTCTTTTTTCTTTCGCTTCCGTCTGTTTTTCCTCTAATCGTTTTCGTTGATCGAGCATCAAGATTAAAGAGTTTGACTTTTAGCTTTTTAGATTCTTGGTTTTTCGAATTTTTTAATTAAAGACATAACGATCCGAGAACAGTGAATTTATATTTAAAACATTCTGACTAAACATTTCGAATTATAAATTTCAAATACATATACGTATTAGATATACATGTATTTTCAATTACACCTATACCAATCTGATCTATACTAATTAATTATATTAATTAATTCATTATTGCAATATATTAATGTATCGTCGCTATTTTCTGGCCTTTTACAGGTGGAACAGCTTTGATCGATTTCTGAGATTCTTTTGTTATATTTTTTTCATTACTACTTCCTATTTATAACACAAGAATGTGTATATATGTGTAGTAATATAAGAATATAATTCTTATTCTTAATTATGACGGATTAATCTTATTTTTTATTAATTAATTTCATTTATAGACTCGTTACATGGTTGTTAGTGTGATCATGTACAATACACTCTATCACGTTAGTCAGCAAACAAACAAACTGACAATATGAAATATTAACTGGTTTCGTCTTCGTTTTGCTCCAGTCACTATCTCTATATGTATTATCATTGCCACAGAATTGTTATTGTATTTGCCCCGTTATGGACTTTAAATAAAACAGCGATAAGCGAGTCTTCCTTCTATGCACGCTTCAAAGAGCTTCGATCAACACGCTATTGTTGTTGAATATATTCAGCAGAGAAACCGAAAAATTCCATCCACGAAACCATTAAAAACGAAACCATCGACATACGATGAAAATAAACTGAGAGAAATAAAAGCGAACAATTGAAAGGCACAAATGAACAACTGGAAAAAATAAACAACTAATTCGAGAATGAAAGCGAACGATCTAAAAATGTAAAAAAGCAATTGCAGAAAGTAAGCAGACAAATCCAGAACATAAATAAACAAACCTAGAATGTAAATAAATAGTAAAAAAATTTTCCAAAAAAATATACCCGTAACAATACCTGTAACAAATTTTTACTCTTGCGCTTTTATTCGCCCAATTATTTTTTATTTCTATCTTTACCGCTATGTTTTCTTTATTGCGGTTATTTTCTGTCTTCTCTCTTTTACTTTTACATTTTCTTTATTTCGATTATTATATCTTCCTTCTCTTATTCGCTGACATCGACATTTCGTGTTAATTATACTACACTACCATCTAGATTTCTTAGATTAATATCATTAGTTAAACTAATTTTAACAAGAACGATGCAACCAGTTACGAAGCGAGGAAAGCACATTTTAGAAAATAATGCACATAACGCAAGATGCGATGGTTCGTTCGTCTCGCAACTGACAAAAATGCATTACAGTATTTGCACTTAATAACGTACGATACAAGTGGAATAAATTTGCAAATTAATGGAACGGGGGTAAATTCTGAGTGTACGTGCGAATAGAAAGCGAGGAATTCGTGGCTCGAGTGCTCGATGAAATCGTTTTGTAGACCATCGTTATGATTAACGACCGTAATGATTTTAAAGTCTCTAAGAAATTTTTGTACGACGAATTTCAGTAACAAAAACCAGTGAATGCAAATATCGAAGGTTCCAAACGTATAACGATGGTAATTAGAGGAAAAACATTCTATCGTATAAGTTTTCCCTTCGTTAGGATTTTTACTATTGTGTAATATTTCTGCTTCGATGAATTTCAGAATATCAAGTTTTGTATTTCGAATTCGACAATTGATAAAACTAATAATTGTAATAGTATTGTACGGTATCGTAGCGGTATTGTAGCTAGAAATATATTGTAAATGGATAAAGAAGACACAACGGTACCGAATAGTAGCGAACAGTAAGCGTAGATTTTTCGATTTAATATTTCTTGTACGACTCGATGTGCGTCAAGAGAAACGTGACGTTTCAAAATAGTCGCTGCCTCTTTCCGGAATTGCAAATGCAACCAGATCACGTTTGCAACTACCGGTACACAGAAATTTATTATATCCATTTCTGATGGTTTTAGTAAAAAAAAAAAAATTAAAAAAAGAAAAGAAAGGAAGCTAAATAATATCGTAGAATAAAGAAGCCGCAACGACAAACTCGTTAAACCTTCTAGGAAATTTATTTTTCAGCTGTGAGAATAATTTTATTCTGATATATATCAAAATATTATCTTACAGACCGTGGATGTTTATGCACATTTGTGTCTTTATAAATACAGTGAAAGAGGTGTAATTTAGGAATGAAACGCTTTTAACTACTAAATATTATAAAGAATAATATACCTTTATAAATATAACAAATGCCAAATTAATCTTTGTCTACTCGTTAAATTTTCCACTTATAAAATCTTTGGAAAGCATTTTAAGATAACGCTCCTGTTAAAATATCATTGCTCGCCAAGTGTAACAATCTGCTCCAGTTTCTATTCTTCTTTTCCAATCTTCCTCCACGAGCAATTATTCCCAAATTCTACGTTTATCGATATTACTCGATATAATTAATCGAGCAACTATGTAATCGATTTCGGTTCTGATAATATAAAGATTCTGCCGTATATATACATTTATAAAGTTCAACGAGACGCGGACGATGCGATTATAAACTCATTGACGTCGTTGGCGCATCACGCGAGCCCATTTACCTACTTCTGCCTTTGCCACGCAACACGCTCTCTCTTTTTCTTTCTTTCGATCTCTCTGTTCGTCGATGCTTTCGCCATAGAATACGAAGAGAATGGCTTGCCACTACGCTAATTAAAATTCGCTACTTCTTCGAGCCAAACAGCCGCGCAACACGCCCATTCCTCGCGAACGAATCGATGGAATCTTCGCTATTCCTTGCCTATGGTTTATCGCATTTCAATCGGTTGAAAGGTGGACCACTTCCCCTTCGCGAGGATTCCTTCACGCTAGAAGAGCTTCGATAAGATTGGATCCAGGTTCCACGAGTTTATCGGAGATTCTGATGGGGGTTTTTACGGGGATCGTGGTCCGAAGAGGTTGTTTCGTTGAATCTGGAGAATGTAATCCTTTCTGTTCAGGAATTCTCTCTCTTATGCAACGTTTCTTTCTTTCTTTCTTTCTTTCTGTTTATCAGAATTTTCTTTATTCTTGCCTTTGTGATGGCGATTTAAGAAAATCAGAAGAGTATGTTTATTTCTATACAGGTACCTGCGAAGTATCAGATACAATACGAGAATATCAGATTAAGAGTATATAAACAGAATAAACTTATTGAGAATGGAGGAATCCTACGTATTATTAAGTTATTATTACAATATCATCTTATTGTTTTCTGCGTGTAATTGAATATTCTACTGTTGCACCGGCCATTCCATCGTGCAGATACGAAACGAAAGATATAACTAATTTTCTAGCCAGTGATATCGTTTTACACGCTTACAAATCACTCACTTTTTTTATATAATAAGCATGTCAAGATGTAAGTTTATGTTTATAACGTTCTACATTAATTTCTAAACTTGCTTCAATAAAATTCTGCGGTAATTTATTTCTTCGCCTATTAAAAACTGCCCGGCACGCACGTTAGCAACTCGATAAATATTATTTATTATAAATTTCTAGCACGCGCATATAAAAAGGCTCGCCACCATTGAATCAAAACCATTCTCGTCGCCATGTTTCATTGATAACCATCAGAAACGTATCTACCCTTGTTTAATGCCTCCCCCGATTCAACACGAACGTAGAATCGACTCGAAACGGTTTCACAGAACATGCATATAAATACATACATATATATATATATATATATATGTATATATGAGGGGGGAGAGAGAGAGAGAGAGAGAGAGAGAGAGAGAAGAGTTCTGTAATCAGTTCGTACGGCCGTGTTAGAAGTTAGTCTAATTAGTATTCCGCTTGGCGCGGCGGTACCGCGGGACGCTTTAGGTAAAGCAAAGTTTAGCTTCCTTAACGACGCCGCCTTTGGACTTCGCATGAAATCTGCAATTACCGGCGGTGCGCGGGCGCGAGCACGCTTGTGAGCGCGTGTCAATCCTCGCTGCACTTTATTGCACGCGATACAAAGAGCAAGAACGTAACGTAAAGTATGCAGTTTAATTAGGATCCTGTGCTGGCGCAGGTTCCCATTAAGCCATTTGCATGTAAACCGTTGGCGCAGAGTGGCCTGGACCAGGGGCCGTTACTGCAGCCTCTCTAATGGCAACGTAATTTCGTATACGGTGAATAAATATTCGTGGGAATATCGAGCCGACTGTTGGTCACGAGTAGAACGAGTATCGTGCAAAGTTTTACTATATTTTTCCTTCGTTTCCCCACGCTTGTATATTTCCACGCCCGAGATTTGAGAGATTTAAAATATTCTTTCGCAAGTTGGACTGAAAATGGAACGATTCGTAATTTGTACTAAATTTTTTTATCAACGAATTATTTGACCGAATTATTTGACGAGTCACATTTGAAATAAAGATTTTTTAAACATACAATTTTAAAAGATCTTATGAACATTATGTAATATCAAAAAAAAGGGGGGCATACGCTTGGTCCATCATATATTTAAGTTCGAGTTTCTCGGGATAGTATAATGCAGTGTCGCAGACAGATTGTCGTATAGAACCGGCGAAATGCATACAATGTAGCGACCAGCGTATAGTTCCAGAAACGTTGATTCGCCTTCGGTCCGCTTTTTTTCACATACACAAGGAAGGTGCATACGCATCATAGGCGCGAACGGTGGCGTGACCCAAGCGTAGTGGGGGGTCGTCTCCGAGAGAAGACAAAAAAGATCGAAGGGCGAGCAGTACCATTTTGAGGAGTCGGAGAGTGAAAATCAAGAAGTGAGAGTGTTGCCAGCGTTGTGAGAGTGTGGTTCACGTGAAAGAGAGAGCGGTTAGATCCGTTGTGAGGAGAGTTACAAATTAACTATTGCGTTGTCTAGACCATAATACGTTATTGTGATTAATTAACATCTGTACAATCCATTCATCGTAAATAAATCATCATTATAATATTATATTTACGATATTACAATTATGAAAACGAAGGTGCAGCAACTGATATTCTTATTAACTTTTTTTTTTATGAAAAAATGGAGATTGATCCGGTATTAAATTTTGAATCTCCTATCGATTAAATTTGAAATAAAAAGGTCCTAAATATAAGAAATGTTTCGAAAAAAATATATACAAGAGAATTTCGTAATTTTAATGATCGCTATTTCTATTGAAATTTTTATGTATGAATCAACATTTATATGAATAAGTTTACAATTAATTGACAATTTAAATCTGGATTTTATATAAATTGCCGAATATTCCTAATCGATTACCAATGTAACATCAGGAATTTTGGAATTTGGATAATGAAACGCGTGATTAGCCGCGCTCGGGAACTTGCAAAACAGTTCGGAAAGTCGGCAGGATACCACGAAGCCATTTAATTATCCTAGAAACATTTCTGCCGCAAAGACAATTTAGAACGTGCTTTATGAAAACTTGCGAGCTGTCCGCGCGTGAAATTTACCGATGGATGAGACCGGCGCGTTTCAACGGTGTAATAGTAAACGTTTCGTGGAATTCACTTCGATCGGAACGAAATATCGTTTCAGTAATTACCGTATATCGTCTACCATTGAATTTCTACAATTTCTACATTGACAAGACTTTATATGACTCCAGTGAAGAAATGTTCAAAATGTCTCTCCAACACTGTTATACGCATAAACCCTTCGATATTTCGTTAATAGTTTGCGTTAAAAAAATATTTCTGTTTGAACAGCTACTGTCTATCTACTTTGTGTTCACATATGATAGTTGTTCGCTATCTCAATAATGAACAGAAGACGTATTACGGTGTTTAGTATAACTAGGAACACGTGGTGTGCGAGGGAACAGCGTTGTATCGCAACAACGTAACAAAACAATTACATAAGATGGTATGGAACGAGTTACATACGGAGCAAGAACCGGAAATTTAATGTCAGTGCTGATGATACGGAACGTGGGCTTCGTATCATGAAATTGTATCTACATATATAAAACTCTCGATACTTGGCATAACATTTTTCCTCTCTTTTACATAGCTGTGCAAAGATTCTCAGTCTAGGATTTAGCGATTTCCTAGATATCTATGATCGATAAATCGATAAAAATCGATACGACAATAAGCAACGTTTCAGTTGAACAAATATTATGACTTCTGCCTTTATGTCTAGCAAAAAGGAAACACACGAGACTTCGCTTTTATTGACTCGCATCCACAAAAGCTAACCTCTAAGAGGAACTGAAGATTAGATATTGAGAATAATAGAAGCCTCGTATGAATCGCTTTCTGAAAACGCCAGACGGCTATAAATAAATATAAGCTCGTCTACGAGCAAATAAATATGCCTAACTCGGCGAAAGAATCTCGACTCAAAAGATAGCACGCAAATACGTAGTAGTTCCGGTGGCAACAAAGCTGTTGGTCAAATGATACAGGTGTCATCCCACTTAGCGTAAAGGTAGGTTAGTATTCGCTCCATGGCAAAAGAGAAACACGTGCAAAGGACAGAGACGAATGACATTTCTACAGATACACAATCGTCTACACAGCAAATAATTGAGCAATGTAAATGGCGGATTATATACATGAAAAAAGAACAATAAAAAATGACGTTGATGATGATTCAGCGAAGAAGAATATAAATCGCATGCTAAGAAAAGAAGAAGAACGTAAGTGTTAGAATAATTAATTTTAGATCTTGGAGCTATCTCAAGATAGAAGCGAAAGCTATAAATGCAAACCAATATTTCTCTATGTTAAAGATATCCACTCCAAATTGCAAGAAACAACTTCGAATTGGTACTTCTAAGTACTAGTAGTAGTAGTAGGTAAGAACTAAGAATCATGTACATGAAATTAAAAACCTACTTCTCTGGGTCATTTATTTTATTTAAGCCTTTAGATAATAACTCATCACTCACCTTCTCTCGCTTTGAGGTACACAGTGTTTGCTACGATGTTCTCCAACTCCATCAATTCCAGCTTGATCGAGTTTACGCGGCCGAATCGATGGAGAGAAGCCTGGTGGGCGACAAACGAGAGGAAGAGCGTAGGCCTCGAGCGGAAGTCCGGTCGGCTGGTATAGTTTTCCGGGGTTGGTCACCCTGTCGGGCTCCAGCAGACCAGCTCCCATCTGCGGCCCCAGGACACCACCAGGGCCGAGAAGTCCCCCTTCACCGAGGACCAAGGACAACAGGAAGGACGTCGACAAGCTGTTGGACGGCTTGGTCGAGTCAAGTCGAATTCGAGGTTCGAGGTCGTCCGGCGTAGGTCCCGCCGTTTCTGGTGCTGACACCGCGGGGAAACCACCTATCGAGTCGACTCGAGTTCGTTGGCCCCCTCTGCCGGTCAAAAACCGACGTTTCCCGCCACAAAGTATGCGTATACGTATATCGAGCAAAGCATGCACGACGTCAAACGGGTTACACGAAACCGGACTTTTCACTTGTCACACTGTATCGTGTTGGTTTCCTTGATTCACGGTGTACGATCCCAGGGTCAAGGAGCGGCTTTCTTGCGTAACGTTTGTACCAGCGAGTTTCTTCCGTATCGATCGTGGATTTAGGCATTTACAGCAACGCGTGTCCACATCGTGACCTTCTCCTATTTGCGAAAAACAGACACGCCGGATGAAGCTTCATGGGGATGAGGCGCGATCGGTAAGCCGTCACGGAATCAAGCATTCAGAATGCGCAGGATTCTTCTTCCACACGCTGTGTAACCCCTCTTTATCGCTCTTCCACCCCGTGACTGAGGACGAAGCTCGATCGCAGCGCGCGTTCACATTACAAAGAAACTATAGTGTCGTGTAATCACGTGCGACGATGCGTCGTTGTCTCTCTTTCTCTCTTTGGTATAGTTCGTGTCGCTTGCGTCTCCTTTAAATATCAGCAGAGATTGTGCACGAGACACACCGCTAACGATCCCCTCGAATAATCGTTACAACAGCAAATCCTAGTGGCGCGTTAGCATGCCATCGTAAAAATGTCACGTGTGTTCTGCGGATTCGCGTACGGACACGACACTCGTAGGCATGTAGCAGCAGTGCCTTTCACTTTAACGACGGTGCGAGAGATGCCTCCGCATGTGCTAGATGCTAGATCCTTCTTCAACTTCGGATCGGGGCTTCGATCGTCGATTCGTGAATGTCGAGGGACTCAACACCCACAGAGATTCGTTTCTTCCTTTCCCTCGATATTAGAGCTGCAACAGGCAGTTAGAGAACCATTGTAACCTCGCGTGCTGGAAACACGAATTTGATCTTCGGCCTATGCGACGAAGATTCTTTCTATTTGTAAATTTCCGATCTCCTTACGTGCGGATGTCGCTTCGTCGAGCGTTTAATGTATTCCTCTTTGCGTCGATCTCTGATGTACGTTCTGGAATAAGATTTCAGATTGTTCGTGTTATTAGTGTGAAAGGATTCGCGAACGTCCACAGTGGCGTAGCCAATCGTTTCATCCGAAATCTCTACCGACATCACTTCGCTGAACATCGTGTACGAGAATTTTCACCACTTTGATCGCACGAATATCAAAATCAAAAATGTCGGATGCAATTTTTTTATGACGCTTTGCTTTCAAGAAAATTAAGTTTCAAGCTGTGTCACGTATACTTAAACTTAATTAATTACGAACTAGGTATACGTAAACGATCTACTTGCTTTACACGCGAAAATAAGTAAAAACCGTGAAATAAAATTTTTCCGTTTCTGGCCCCATTTTCTACAAGAACGTGTTTAGTTAAGAGTTGATCCGATACACGCACGAGATGCATCTTTAAATTCATTTTCCCCGATAAATCTGTACATTTTTTATTTATTTCCATTTTTTATTTAAACGTAGAACAACTTGCTGTCGATTATTTACTATTGTTTAGTTTAGAATAAACCAAGTTCAAGAATACTTGGCAAATTTTCAAATTTGATTTTTTCGAAAACGGAGCGTCATATAAAAACATTTTATTCCACGTTTTTGACTTGTTTGCCCGTGTACATTCCTCTCCATTTCGCTTATACCGTCAGTTCGGCGATGTATGCGTATGTACGTGCGTCTCAAAGGGATACGACTGACAGTAAGTATGCAAGTACACAGTCAAAGGGCCATTGCCATATAAAGTGTTCGCTACGCCACTGGTCGTTTGGGACGGGAACGAGAGGATATCTCGATCGTCTGCGCCGGTCGTTCGTTTCTCCGTGTGGCGTGAGTGAATTTTAAAAATCATCATGCTCCTCGCACCTCCGCCGTACTGGTTTATCTGCCGCGCGCAACAGACGCACGCACTTATCGTCGCGCGTTCTGCATGCGAAACTACAACCGCGCACATGTGCGTGAACACTGGACGCAGCAGGTGCGCTACGGGGATAAAGATAACGACGCGACTAAGCGCACCGTCGGCGTAATATCCGACGTGGTAATCTAATAACTTTTTCCAGAACTCGATTCCCACCGATCGTCTCTCTTATTTTCTCGCTCTCTCTCTCTCTCTCCCTCCTCTCTCTTTCCAGGTATTTCTTTTACATGTACAACGTGGTGGCGGAAATCACTCTATGCGATATAGAACGCGAAAATTTTATCTGCGAATATAAATCGAGAACATGATATATTTACATTTTTCTTGCGAGATAGATAACGTGGATAGTTGAGTATTTAACTATAGTGCAACGCTATTCCATTTCCCGAGCGTTTCTAATTACAAAATTAGGCGGATAATTTAAAATATTATCAAATTTCCGAAACATTTATTTCTAATTTTGGATACAGTTAGTAATTATAGCATCCTTTTTTCTTTAAAGAGTGGAAATCCAAATTTACAAATTATTCTGTGATGTACGCTAAAGAGGTGCAATTTGTTTAATATACTTAATGTCTTTGTAATTCTTTTATGGATATTCTAATCGGCAGAAATACTCAAGATTTCATCATTATACCCTCTATATCCCCATACCTCTATCACGGCCCAATCATGAACATAGCCGTCGAATCGACTTCCAACGGAATTAGATTCAAACTAGATGGATTCTCGTCAAAGTGGCTCTTACGACTTGCTGCATTACACCGGTAAATCCTATTAAACTGCGACGGCTAACGAATGGGTAACCCGACACGGGCTCTAAATTAAGTAACAGGCGAAAAAAGGAGGAAGTGGGGGGTTAGGCAGGAGGTTGGCAGGCGGAAGAGGAACGACGAAGATCGTTAAAGGTTTTAAATGCTTTTTCTCGATGACGCAATTCCAGTACCGTGGAACCGGATTAGGAAGCGGTGAGCAACGATGATAACGAAGAGGAAAAAAACCAATGACAATAAAAACGCTACCGCAAAGGAAATAACGATAGCCGGTATTTTCCCCTGACTGATTAAAATTGTTTCTTAAAAAATCACCTGTGTCCTATTGGATATTTGAAATATGTCTTCTGTAACCACGATCGTTTTCGATCCACCTTGTGTTTCATTTTTAAGCGTCGAATGGATAATTCGATTACTTGGGCCAGAGGTAATATAATATCCTTTTCCACGTAAGCGATTCTGTACTACACAACCATTTCACTGCAGGTGACTAGAGTAAAACGTCGATCATATTAATCACCGGGCAGACTGAATGGCTGCGTTCTGTTCGTTTAAACGAGAGAAAATGAAAACGTTACCGATACACTGATATCAGGTTAACCGGTTAAGATTTTGCTTCGTTATCAATGAATATCGCTCCAAAAAATTAGTTCCATGAATTGTTGGGACGAAAACAAGGGTTACTTAACGAAGTGTTCAAGTGCTTTTTGATTTGTGGAGTTGATGAATGAGTTGATCAATGTAGCTTCTAGATGGTACAAATGTGAAAGAAGTTCTTTCTATCTCGTTTAATCCCCTCTCTCCTTTACCAACCGATGAAACAATCGTATTGAGAGGAAATAAAATGCTCAGTGTCACGTACGGTTAGAAGAACGATTTCGAATACACACACAATACGGGAAACAGTGCTACCGAGGAATATTTGCTTCCTATCGACTGACTCGCGGCGGATTATGAACGGAAATAGAACCAATAATCGATCGATCGTGGTGGTGGTCGTTGCAGGTATCCAGGTATATATGTACATAACATTATATACGTGAAAACATTGATATCCGTTGAAAGTATCTACGATATATCAGCCGATAATGTGTTCCATACATAATAAACGGTATATACAGTCTAGTTCAGAAGTATTAGAATACTTGTTAGCTTCGTACAAAATATGATGATTCGTTTAAATGTTGCATTCGTACAAGGCAACGACGCAAAAATTTGTACGAAATATTATTTTACACAGTCAGAAGAGAAATATGATGAATATAAATTAAGAATCATACATATTATACACATACATACATACATACATAATTTCCTGACCTTGTTTGTTAGAAAATTGTTACACGAATTAGATGTGAAACTGAAAAATGTTTATATTTAAAATCTCAATTGAAATTCGAAACTGAAAATTAAATAACGTAAGTGTCAGGATTGATCGAAGCAATGATTTGTAAGTCATAGTGAATGTAAATGAAAACCGATTTAGTTATTATACACGAGTTATTACACACAGAAATAAGATTTTTCTTATAACGTTGAATATATCTACGTATTGTTTGTTTATTTTAAGATTGCACAATCTGTTTTTGCATAAATTTCAAAGTAGATAATGACTGTTAAACGGTAGTGTACATATATCATATATAGCTGGTGTAGCAGGCAAAGAGAGACAGAGAAAGGCAGAAAATTAAGAAAGGGTAGATGACAAGAGATCATAAAATATTGAGGGAAAGAGCGAATAAGAAATTTATTGAGAAGAATTATATATATATCTTTCTATATATCTCTTCTCTCTCTCTCTCTGTATATATATATAATATATTATATATAATAAGTTATATATAATTAATTATTATAATTTAAATATTTATATATATTATATATATTTAATATAAATATAATTTATTTTTTATATTATTATATATTTTTTATATTATAATTTAAATATTTATATATATATATACAGAGAGAGAGAGAGAGAGAGAGAGAGAGAGAGAAGAGAGATATGTAGAAAGCGAGAGAAATTAATTCTTCCGTATCAACGTGAATAGCTCTCTGTCGGACAGGAAGAAGCTATCAACAACGCGACAAGAACCGACAATAAAAGTACCGACGGCACGCGCGCAGGAAATACGCAACTCGGTAATACGGAAACGAAGATCCTTTCAAATGTAAATCCAAGCTTCTATCATGGATACATCTCTAATGGAATACTTAAAAGTGGTCGAACAGCAGGAAATACGCAAGAATGTTACGCTGATCAGAAAATTAGAACGTCTGTATTAAATTGTATTGTATTATAGGAAATAATTTTTAACTTGCTTCTAAATACATATATAAGTGTAGAAACATCCATGTATCTAAATCAGAATGTTAATACTCGTTAAACTAGTCATATGAATATAAATTAATTCGGATTATTTGCTAAACAAGAAGATTGTATTTTAGACTCGGCACGAAACAGAAACTCATATTTTCACACTAATACACCAATAGAATATGTTCAGTCGTAAAATGCTTAAATGCAGTTCTAGTTATATTAGTTAAATTAAACATTTCTATGCTTAATAGGTTAAATTCAAAGATTGCCACATGATTAGCATGTAATTACAATAACACTACTTCTACCTTGGTGTACTTTTATTACATTAAATTTTGATACAAAACAATTGATGTCATCTATATACTAAAAGCGAAAGAAATACTATATCGAGTTTGTATGCATGTTTAACGTAGAGTCGGAAAGAAATGCGGAAAATTCTAATCATGTAAATAATTTAAAAAAGGAAATTGATTCCTGAATGTCGTAAAGATCTGTCAACGATCCATCGTAAATCTCATAAACGTTATAAACACTGCTTAATTCTACTATGTATTTATATATGAATTGCTATGCATACGTACTACCACTCGCATTTACATTTACAGTGATTCACACTATTTTAATCTTCTCCTCTTACGCTCAGATTGATGGAAAATTTCAACCATGAATTATCAAGATGTAAATTGTTTACGTATATTTGCCGGCTGAATTTGAACGTCAGAGAATTTGTAGAAATAAATATCGAATAATGTAACACCATTGATGCAGCGCTGCCTTCCAAGATAAGAATTGTATACCTGGTTGTCGAAGAAAGCGCGTAAAACGACGATAAGTTATGACTACGTTTTCTCCAGGAACAAAGGCAAATTTTCAAGGTAATGTTACCCACCATTAGAAAATAGGAATCGGTATCCACGGGAGCAAACCACAGCGAAAAAGCACGCCGCCTGCCGATTAGATGCGATACTCATAAATATCGATTATCGTTAAGTTAGATAACAACGATCTATCGACGATTATCGATTTTTTCCGATATTTTATCGTATGATAATATTACAGACTTTTTTTATTCACAATAAAATTGTTAATTAAAGATTGTAAAAGCTTGTAAAGTTCTATTCCAGTTACCTGATCATTTTACCATGAAATTCTCGTACTACTATAACTCTGGATTTCGTTTTTAAGAAACGATATTCATTTCATAAATTTAAAACTAAAGTACAGAACGAGTTATTATATCGAATACAGTAGAGCGAATAAGAGTAAAGAAATTGGTACGATGAATACCAAAAACTATTCTGTAGTACAATAAGGTCCTAAAGAAAAATTGTAACTTTTTAAAAATGAAAAATAATTAAGATAAAAGTTACCAAAAATAATCGATATGCCATTGATATTTTTCCATCTCTATCCTCGGCGCAATGTACGTTTTTATTTTATTATATTCCGCTATATTGTTTTCATAGAAACTTACTTATTTGATCGATTATATAATTCACATTACTCTCTATTACTTTCTCCGTTTCTTTCAACATTTTTCAAGCTTTTCAATCGCGTTTTTATGATGAGAATTTTTATGATTTTGGCGAGAAATAATCTTGGAGAACATTTGCTAACCTCTTTATATGTATATCATATTTTTGGAATTCCCCTCACCCACCCACCATTAAAATAATATTACGACAACCTGAATATATTATGTTTCATAGTTTGTCGATTAATACCTATCAAATAATTTCTTTTTTAATTACATTACTCACATAGAGCGTAGAGTGTTATCTTGATGATAAGGTCTTTCTAATTTGACTTCTTCAAACGTTGAAAGGAAATAATATAGACTAACAAAAGTTATATCATTGGTTAAATAACTAGTTAAATAATTTTATAAGAATGGAATATAAGAATACATGGATACTTTGCGTCGAGCAGAATATAACAACGCGAGCAGACGCGGAAACCGCACCAATGAAAGGGGCGATTGAATGAGAGACAATGAACGCCGATGCGATGGCAGCGCGGGCGAGTTCATTGAGAGGGAGAAGAAACTTTTGCCCGCGAATCGAGACGCATTGTGGAATGGCAGACGTGTATTTCCCTGGTGTACAAGATGCCTCTTGTACACGTGAGTCAAATTAAAGAATCAAATAAGGGGAAACAGCGGGGTCTGTTTTACCATTTTTATCAATGCGGATTGGAAACGCTTTCCATCGCCGCATTTTGAGCGAACAACTTAATTTGACACTGTCGGTCTGTATCACCGCTGTATATATTCTCCATTCCCCTCCTTCTCTACTTCCCTCTCTTTATGTCATTGCACTAGCGAGAATAGCAATGACAGAACTGTAAAAATTTGATAATATCAATGAACTGAATCATATTTTTATTTTGATATAATTAGAGAAATTGAAGCCAATTATGAGTACTTGGATCTTTCATATTTTGTTTATGCGTTATAAGCATTATGTACGATTTTGCATCTTTAATACGTTTTGTGCTCCGTAGGCAGTGAAAGTGGCGATAGATCGACAATAAAAATGGAAGAAAGAATTTCCATTCCATGAGGCGAAGGAAGATAAGTTTCAATCCGATATTTCAATAAAATGTCATGAATTAGATGGATTTTTATTTTTCTATAGTTAAATATTCTAAGAGAGTCCTTAACCATCGAACCTTCGTTGATAATCTTAATTATCTCGTGGCATGGAGCGCGTTAATTTCCCACACACGCGCAAACGTCCGTAATTTAGTAGTCTCCGAGGAAATAAAAAACATCTATCTTCCATGGACATAGAAACATTTAAACAATACGAAATATCCTTAGAGGTGACACCCGAAAGAAGCCCGCCTAAATATTCTCGTGATGGAAACGTGACTTTGCGACAACCGATCACGAGACGCCGCACCGCGCCGGCTCTTGAAATCTGTCACACAAGCAACACGCACAACCCATTATACGCGACACTAAAATAACCACCAAACCCATAACAAGAATATCATAAAATGTGAATATAGCTTATCTAAGCTATATGATTCTAAGCTCGGAAGGAAAAGGGAGGAAGTAAAGGACTCGAAAGATGAAAAGTGGAGAAAGACGCCGCGTTACCGACGGAGCGTGTCGTGTCTCGCACGTCATGGGCACGAGTCAGTACGACATCGTTTTGTGAAACACGAGACGGGCGTAAACGATCTCAGGATGATCTCCATGGGGGTACAGACCGGTCGAATTGGAGAAGGGAGGACATGTTATGGCGTTCGGTACATCTAGTATAATGTA